GGTGCCAGGTCATTTGTCATGTTGACCTCTCGACCTAGGTACACATAGCTGTTGCATTCGGAGATGGTCGTTCCATTGAGAGCGAATGGGGCGTCAGGAACAAGGCTATTTCTCATAAACATTGTCTTCGTAAGATTCAGCTGTAGTCCTACCTTTCCACACTCACGGTCAAAGTCGGCCAGCATTTGTGCCGCTTGGCTGATGTTTGGTGTTATTAAAACAATGTCATCAGCAAAGCGGAGGTGGTGTAGTTGCCGACCATCTATCTTCACTCCCATTCCTTCCCATTCCAGTCGTCGCATGATGTTCTCGAGGGTGGCACTGAAGAGTTTTGGTGAAATGGTATCACCCTGCCGCACCCCTCTCTTGACATCAACGATCACTTCTTTGTAGAATGGTGAGATCCTGGTAGTGAATCCGCAATACAGCTCACGGAGGATCCTGATGTATTGGGCTTGTATGCCCTGATTGGCTAGGGCTTCAATGACCGCTTCCGTCTCAACAGAATCAAAGGCCTTCTTTAAATCAATGAACGTTAAGCAGAGTGGCATCTTGAACTCCCGAGAAACCTCAATGAGTTTGGTTATCGTGTGGATATGGTCGATGGTGCTGAATCCTTTGCGGAACCCGGCTTGCTCGCATGGTTGTCCTTCATCTAGTGTTCTGCCAATCCTATTCAGGATGACTCGAGTGAACAACTTGTAGATGACAGACAATAGGCAGATCGGGCGATAGTTGCCAATGTCATGGATGTCTCCCTTCTTGAACAGTAGTACGGTCCTGCTGGTTTTCCATTGAGATGGAACCTTGCATTCAGACAGGTAGCGAGTGAAGAGCCGAGCCAGTGTATTGATGAGTACTGACGGCAGGTTCTTCAGGTGTTCAGGTCTGACCTTGTCTGGGCCGGGTGCTGTTTGCTTCAGGTGACCTCATGGCAGAAATTCCCTCCCGACAGTAGCCCGACTTGATGTCTTGCAATGAAAACAAGGGACAAACCAAGCACCGCTGCCCGTGTGAAGACTGAGAGTGTGGCCTGTAGTTAAGCAGAGAAACGACGGCCAGGACTCAGCCTGGAGATGCTGGTGTCGGCCGACGGGGGCTTGAAAGGATCTTTAAGGAAGAGCAACGAGAAACGTGCAGCTGTAAGAGCGAACATGGGTGATACCAGGAGGGAAAGGCGAAACCTGATGGGGCGTGATCACGTGACTGAATATGACGCTGCTCGGAACTTAGACGAAGGCGGGCAAGTGAACTCAGCGATGGTTGAACAGAGGAGAAGAAGAGAATGAAGTCCCAGGAATCAGAGGTGCCATATGGAGGGGCCGGAAATATGTGTCATTAAGTGCGGAAGAAGGTGGAATACACGAGCTTCTCCTTCCATGGGCCTCTCAGCTCAGACATCGTGGCCTCGTGCCAGGTGGAAAGACACAGGCGAGTCCTGCCAAAGAGAAGGGAAATCGCTTGAAAGCAGCCAAAGAACAGCAGGCGCAGTGCTGGGACCAGTGACCCCTCTGGTGAGTGACCGATCCTTAGCAAATATATAGGGAAGAGGGTGCCGAAGAGGTAAAAGGAAAAGTATCCCCCAAGAGCCCCAGAGTCTGATAGCCTTCAAAGCAAACGCTCTTTCTTTCTAAAAAAGAGCATTTTTTTTTGACCTTTTGGGTCACCTCCAACATCCAGCAATGCTCAGGGGTTACTCCTGGCTCTGCACTCAGGAATAACCTGAGTTATTAACAGGTTAATTCCTGTTAGAAATAACAGGAATTTCCTGGTCGTGCTCGGGGGACCATATGGGATGCCGGGGATTGAACCTGGGTCAGCTGCGTGCGAGGCAAACGCCCTCCCTGCTGTACTATCGCTCCAGCCCCACGAGTGCTCTTTCCATCAGTAAAAATGGACAATATTTGCTACCAGTAGGTCCCAACTTGAAAAACAAAACAGCAGAAGATGGTTCCTGATGGAATGTTCACCACGCTTGCAAGAGGGCAAGTGTACAGCTAATGCCAAAGTCTCTCTCTCTGTTTCTCTCTTTGTCTGTTTCTCTGTCTCTCTGTCTTTGTCTCTGTGTCTCAGTCTCTCTGTCCCTCTGTTTCTCTGTCTCTCTGTGTCTCTGTCTCTCTGACTCTGTATCTCTGTCTCAGTTTCTCTTTCTCTGTCTCTGTCTCTCTCTCTGTCTCTCTCTATTTTTTTTCTGGACCACACCTGGCAGTACTCAAGGCTTCCTCCTAGCTCTGTGCTCAGGGATCATGCCTGGCCATGTCCGGGGGCCATGTGGGATGTTGGGATTGACCAGATCGTCCATGTGCAGTCAAGCATCCTTCTACTGCACTATCTCTCCGCCACCCCAAGCCTCTCTTCAGTTTCCTTCACAAACACACAGGCCGGATGTGCAGTTAATGTTTGGGGGCTCATAGAAGGCAGAAGCAGACACGTGGTGCAGGAAAGCAGGGTCTGAGCACATGGGCACTGAGCCCTGCAGGCTGCCCTCTCCATGCAGGCTCCCTGGCACGCTCACAAGGGTCCCCACCAGTCCCCCAACAGCCCGCTGGGGCTCTGTCTTTCACTCCCTGTCTCTCTTCAGAGCCTACTTGCTGCCCCTCCCCCATGCACTTTTCCAGCCTTGACCCCTGAGGCCACGTGCCACGTGCCCCTGGCCACTGAGCAGCTCCCCGCAGGTGGGTCTCCTCTGTGGCCCTGGTGACTCGTCTGGGCATGGTGTTCAGATGTGAACCCCACAGCTCTCACATAGGGCTGCCCCGGCACCAGCCCCCTGCCAGGCCTGCCCCAGGTCACCCGCCACCTTTGGGGACAGATACCACACCTGTCCCCTTTGAAGAGCGGCCGCCTGGGCTGGAAGTGACATGTTGGTGGCAGGTCCAGGCGATACTCCAGAGGCCTCACGCCTGCCACCCCCTATTCGGGCCTGCCACCACTTGGCTCTGTGCTCCTGCCTCCCGTGGCCCCAGCCCATCACTCACGGCTGCTGAAATCTTTCTGGATCCTAACGGTGTCACCTGACGTATTTCTATCCTTCTCAACTGGGTGTCATCTGAAAATTTGACAGACGCATCATCTTTATTCCCATCGAGTCATTGATGAAAGCAGTGAGGGGGGAGGCACGGAGTGGGGATGCCCATCCCTGGCGGCCCGGAGTCCTCCCTCTTGGCCAAGTGGACGGGTGTTTCTGCCCCACATCCGGCTGACTGGTTGGAGGTGCTGCCGGGTGTGTGTGTGCTTGCCCTCGGACCTCTATCGCCCCCTCAGGTATTTTCTCAGAGTCTCAGACAGTCTGAGCTCTGCTGCCTGTCCAGCTGAATGGCACACTGTGGGTGTGCAGCGTGGGGCCTCTGCTTCAGGGCTGTTGGGGTTGTTACAAGTCCGGGATTGTAACAATGGGATTGTAGCAATTGGGATTGTAACAACGGGATTGGACCCTCCTCTGAGCTTCTCCAGACACCCTCCCAGAAACAGTGCCCTAAGTACCAGCTCCCAGCGAGGCTGTGCTGTGCAGGCCACTCTGTACAGTGACGCCTACACTGGGCACGGTGGGGTGGCTGTCAGGGCCCCAGAGGGTGAAGGGCAAACATTGGCCCTCCAGTGCGGGGGGCCATTGGCCCTGCACTGGGTCCTTGCAGGATGGTCTGGCTTGGGGGACACTAGGAGAGAGGGGCTGTTGCCAAGGCCAGCAGGAGCCCCTGCTCACCTGACCACAAGGTGGGGGGACACTGCAGGGCAGCTACCCACAGTGGGGTCCACTCATCCCCTCTCCTCACTCCGCTCAGGAGGGGCCCTGCGTCCAGTCCTCAGGGCTCAGAGTGTCCCCCTGCTTGGATCAGAGGCAGAGGAGGAGGGGGATGGTCAGCGCCCTGACCTCCACCCACGTGGACTGTCTTTGGCCCAACGTCGAAGTTTCCACAGAAAGAGACCAAGCGTGGATGTCTCTGGACTTGTCCTGGTGCTGGCGTATGTGGCCAGATCTGGCCTGGTGGAGGGACTGGCGGGCTACTGGCTGACCCCTGGCGGGTGCTGGCTAACCCCTGGCAAGTGCTAGGCTGACCACTGGCAGGTACTGGCTAACCCCTGGCGGGTGCTGGCTGACCCCTAGCGGGTGCTGGCTGACCCCTGGCGGGTGCTGGCTGACCCCTGGCAGGTACTGGCTAACCCCTAGCTTGGGAGGTTGGGGTGCAGTGGCACCAGCCACGAGCTCCCCCTGCCTTCCTGTGGCCATTTGTTCCCCGGGATCCACGGGATAGGGTGCTGGGTCATGTCCCCTCTGGTGCCACACTCAGGGCCGGGGCTTTGCTGGCTCCTGGGGTCCTGGTGGTGAGTCCCCACAGCTGAGGCTGCTCCTGGCAGATGCGAGACCTAGTTCTACTCCCCACTGAGGGGAGGGCGCAGGGCGTGCGCCCGGCTCACGTGTTTGCAGCCACGGGAGGCAGGCTGGGACTGTGGTTAGCGCTGAGGTGTTGGCACTGGCTGTCTGAGCCAGGTGCCGCCTCTTCAGCTGATGCCTCTGAGTGTCTGTCTGCTCTGTGCAGGTGTGCCGGGGTGCCAAGGAGGTGGGCCACGGAGAAAGGAAGCCTGAGAAACGTGGCCCCCAGAAAGGTCCCGGAGGCCCCCCACTTCCTTCTGGCCAGAGCCATGGGACCGGGGGCCGGGGCCTCCACCGGCCTCGTGCCCGCAGTGGTTGTGTAAGTTTTCCCGAGTCTCCTGTTACCCGGGAACTGGCAACAGACCAAACTCAAGGGGGGGCTGGGCGAGGCGGCGGCCGCCGTGGTCAGCTGGGAATGCCTGTCAGCCGTCCAGGGTGGCTCCTGGGGGGGCAGCGGTGGGGAGTGACTCAGACGCTGCCTCCACACCCCCACCCGCCTGGCTCACCTAATCCCTGCCCGCGAGCCAGGGGCATTGGCACCGCCCGCCCGCCCGCCTGCCACCTCCCCACCGGGCCTCGCGCGGCCTCCCTTGCGAGGCGGGCCGCGGGGGGCAGCCTGGCCCCAGGGATGGCGGAGCAGGACGGCGGGGGGCTGCAGGTGCTGCTCCAGACACTGCAGGTAGGACAGGGGTGGGCGCGGCAGTGGGGGCCCGTGCCCAAGCTGGGAGAGACCCCAGCCCCAACTGCCTGACCTGGCCGTTGACACTGTCTGTGTCCCTCTCCCACAGGGACCTTGGCTGGGCTGCGAGATGCGGGTGGGGGCCTGGGCCCAGTCCAGTTCCACATCTAGAGCCTCACCCTGCACCGGGAGGCACAGGGGCTCTTTAAGGAGGGGTGGGGGAGCTTCCTCCTGGTGCCTCAGGGGGGCTGCACGGCCGTGTCTCGCTGGGGTGGTATCGGCCGGGACGTGGATCCATCCCCAGGGTTCTGGTTCTCTTGGGCTTTGTTGAAGGGTTTTGCTGGCTCTGACCCCTGGTTTGGATGGACTCGGGGTACAGCCGGGGTCTGAGACCTGCAGGGTGCCATGTAGGCCCCTCATGCCGAGTATTCTTCCTGCCCCCTAGAGTGGGGCGCACATAGTAGGCCTCGGAGAAGCCAGAGGTCAGAGGCCATGGAGGGCTGACCCTTCAGGGTGGACGCGCTTGGGAGTGCGTCTGGGTCTTGCCCCTGACAAAAGGCGCCCGTGTATAGCACTGGGCCTCCCTGGTTCCCTGCTGTGGAACAGTGTCCCCTGAGTTGGTAATCTAGAACTCTGCAGCTGCCTCACCCGCTGGCAGGGTTTGGATGTTCCTGCATGGTACTTGGGGGGCACCAGGGTTGCCCCTACAGAGCTCGTGTCCAGCCCCTCAGAACCTAGACAAGCACCCAGAACCACCCCTGACTCCTAGCAGATCCTTCTAAGGCTCAAAAGCGCCCGGGCTGGGTGTGGTGTGGTGTCTCTGCAAGAACCCACAGGGAGAGCCTCGGGATGTCTGTCTGTCTGACTGGGCTCCACAGTGGGGCTCAGCATGCTGGCATTCGAGCCTTCATGTTATTTCTGCTCCTTTGTTTTGGTTTGGGACCATGCCTGGCAGTGCTCAGGGCTTACCCCTACTGGGATTCAGGAGACCCTATGCGATGCTGGGGGGTCAAACCAGGATTGGCCGCATGCAAGGGAAGGCGCTTTTCTTGTTTGTTTGTTTGTGTGTTTTGTCTTTTGGTGACACCCAGCAATGCTCAGGTGTTACTCCTGGCTCTGCAGTCAGAAATGACTCCATCTGGGGACTGGATGGGATGCCGGGGATTGAGCCCGCGTGCAAGCTCTACCTGCCATACTATCACTCTGGCCCCCAGGCAGGCTTCTTAACCCTTGTCCTCTCCCTCCTGCCCGTCTTATTTCTGAACCGAGACATCTGTTAAAAGTGATTCAAATGACGCAAGTCTCAAATGCACAGTCTCCCTCGTGCCAGTGGGAAAGAGGGGCTGGAATTAGGGGTGGGCAGAGAGGGGCCCGGAGTCGCAGCCAGCAGGGCGTGTCATTGAGAGTACAGAGGGTCGTGCCCAGTCTCCACGTCCTGGGAGAATCCCGCTCAGTTCCCGACACCACGTCGATGCCAGGGCTTGAACGGGCTCCAGGACGGAGCAGAGCGGGGTCTTGCGTGGAGGGTTCCTCCTTAGCGCTGGGCACAGCACATCCCCGGAGCATGAGGCAGAACCGTGCCCAGGGTGGGCAGGTCACTGCTGAGTCCATCTCCCCTGGGGCTTCCCTGCCTCAGTTTATCATTTTTTTACCCCGTACCTCATTGGTGATTCTGTCACTGCTCAGAGACGTGTGGGCCCTGGCCCTGTGCTCTGGGGTTGCGCCCCCTAGTGGCGGTGCCTGAGCTGCTGGACGCCCGCTCCAGGGCCTGGGCAGCTTCTCAGTGGTGGGGCCCACAGGGACTGCCCCCTCCCTCGCTCTGCTCACGGGCCCCTGCTGAGGTGTGGTTGAGCTCACCTGCGGCACAGAGGACCCCAGGCTCCTGAGCCCCCACATACGGGCTCAGTTCAGATGCAGCTTGTATTCCCTTTCCTCCTAGTCCTGCTTCCACACTTGGGGTCCAGGAGCTCTTGGGGGCAACAAGGTGAGGGCAGTGCGCACCCTTCTTCTGGCACCTTCCAGCTGTGCTTCCTGGGCCAAGTCTCTTGGCTTCTGGGTCTGTGTGTGGGTGGCTGGGGGCAGGAGTCGAGGGGTCAAAGCAGGTCCCGTCCTGGGCCTCGCGTGGGATTAAGAGGCTTCATCTGCAGAGCTCTTGTTCCCTCCAACCAGCTGTTTCCGTGGCCCCCTCGCCGGGGACACTGCCCCCATCTTCGTCAGCCTGTCCTGCTTTTTCCTGGGTGCATGCCAGTAGACGCGCCTGGGGGAAGGAGCCTAGCTGCCCTGTCTCCCCTCGCCGTGTGCTTGGACCTAATGGGGTCTGGCTGCGCCCTCCTCTCACTGCAAGGTTGACGTTAATGGGGTCTGGCTGCCTCATCTCCCCTCGCTGTGAGGTTGGGGCTAATTAGGTCCGGCTGCCATGTTCCCCCTCACCGTGAGGTTGGGAGAGCTCTGAAGGGAACGAGTGGTGCAACTCGGAGTCGGATGGTTTTCAGGCTGGCTTTGGAACACTCAGGCACTTTCTATTCTCTTCTTTTTGGGGGCCACAGCAGACTGTGCTAAGGGATCTCTCCTAACTGGCTCAAGGGGCATCTGAGTTCCTGACTTGCCCGAGCAGGTGCTTGTCCAAGTGTCCACTCCCATCATGGGTGACTTCACCCCCCCTGGGCTGTAGAGAGGAGGAGAGTGGGAAAGTGGGGTCCAGCCTGACTCGTTCACAGCACCTGGGCATGCAGCTTCCAGAAAGCGTGCTTAACCAGGGCCCTCCTGGGGGTGTCCAGAGTGTGCACCCACTGCCCAGGGCTGGGGCGGACAGAGGGGTCGGGAGCCCTGCCCAGAGAGCCCAGCCCCTCCTCCCCGGGAACTGATGCTCTGCCTCAACTGCCATAAAGCTCAAAATGAAATCTGCCTTCGTTTCAGCAAAGAGAAAGCAAAAAGCTCACGGGGCAGGTGCCAACTCGGGAAGGATCCGGATTGGCACCAACAGCCCGTGTTGGCGGTGACAGTCAGCCGGGAGCGGGCGGGGGCACGTGGCCCAGGCGGGGGCAGGAGCTGTGTTTGGTGTTTTGTTTCTAAGACCTTGTTGCTTTCACAGTTTCTTTGATTCCTTGGGATGAGAGAAGTTGGGAGAAATAAACAGTTATTAAGGCCCCTTCTCTGCCAAGATTTCGCATCCTTCCCTTCGCGTCTCCCCCTGCCGCCTGGAGTAGGGAGGAAGGTGGTTGTTCGGAGACAGCTGAGGACACTGGTGCCTCGGCCTCGGGGCGGACCGTCCAGCTCTGTGCCCAGAGGTAGAGCAGACCCCGTCGCTGCGAAGTCCTTCTAGCTGTCTGCGTTGTCCAGGATGGCCGGACATGGCCATCCTCTTCTTTTTCAAAGTACTACCTTAGCCTGGTGAAGCCTAAAGGTTGAGAGGCTCCAGATTTCACCAGGGAAAGAAACTCCATTAGCGCTAAAGCTGAGTCTGGTCTCTCACCTGGCTCTGAGTGGACTCTTGGTAAGGAAAGTGGAGGATTTGATCAGATCAGCTAAGTGTTTCAGTATCGATTCTATACCCCCCATCCATCATCCATTCCACCTTCTATTGATCTATTATCCATACATTCCATATATCCATATATATATCATCCATCCACCCACCCATCATCCATTCATCTGCCCATCTATCCATTCAACATCCATCCATTCATTCATCAACCACCTCTCATCCAGTCATCCATCCACCCACCTATCCATCTATCCACCATCCATCCACACACTCATACATCTATCCATCAGCCATCCAAACCTCCACTCACCCATTCATCCATCTGTCCATCCACCCACCTAGCCATCCAACCATTCACCCATCCAACCATTCACCCACCCATCCTTCTATCCACCATCCATCCATTCGCTTATCCTTCTATTCACCATCCACTCATCCTTCTATCCGCCATCCACCCACCTATCCATCCATCCACCCACCCACCCACCCGCCCATCCACCCATCCGCCCATTCGTCCGTCCACCCACTCATCTGTCCATCTGTCTGTTTATCTATCCATCATTTTCTTCGTGGGAGGAGAGATTCAGAGAATCCTTGAGTTGACTGTGCCAGGAAAAGCAAAGTCTCTGGATCTTAGCTCTGCCACTCCAAACTTGGGAAACTCAGGACAAATATTGACTGTCTGTTTACTGAACTAGCTTCACACTTGTAAGATGAGGAGGGTGGTGCTTGTAGTTGAGATTATTGAAAGCTTACCATAGAAGAAGTACGAGCTTCCAGTCACGGCTGGTATCTGATCACAGTGAGGTGAGTCAGCCGCAGGGCAGACTGACCAGGAGCAGAGCTGGGGAAAAGGGGCTCACAGGGGGATATGAGGGGGCTCTGGAGGTGGCCAGGGCACTGTCCTCTAGGAGCTGGGGCCACTGCCAGGCCCATGGTCTGGGGCAGGGCAGGTTGCTGATGAATCGCTTTCACATTTCATTTTGGAGAGAGCTGGGGGCTGACATGGGGCTTAGCATGAAGGACACCATTTTGGGTCCGTTGTCTTGGTTTTCACCAGTTACATTGTGAGGATGAAGTTTCCTAGGAGACGAAGTCGGGGGAGGCTTTTATGGAGGGAACAAGGCAAGCATTGAACTGTCCCTGGCAGGTGGGGGCTCCCCGCCCACCAGCATGGGGGTCTGCCTTCAGACTGTGTGTGTGCCAGTGAACATCAGAGCCCAGCATGCCGCTCTGCGTGTCTTCGGGACCCTTATTAACATGACAGGAGTATGCTTTTGCATTCATAAAGCTGTCCCATAGCACCTTCATCGATGATTGAATATTACCCCCTTGTATTATGGCAATTATTTCACGTCTGACATCGGAAGCGTTCAGCTTCCCCTGCTCAGCCTTGGTGATGAGGTGAGGAGAGCCTTGCAGATGGAATGTGTCTCCATCCCGAGGGGATAATTGCGGCAGGATTGTGGGTCACAGGGTCTGAGCAATTTAAAGGGTTTTGATGAAGCATTTCTAAATTGCCCAGCCTCAGATCCGGAGAGGAATCCCCCTCCTCCCACGCCCCCACCAGGGCTAGATTTTATCTGGCTTTGACTCCCTGCCCACTGGAGAGGAAGAGACCGTGATTAGTTTTCATTTGCATTTCTTTGATT